ATCAGTGGGTTCTTATCCGAAAAATTGAGCGAGTTCGTGGTGGAGCGCTGATTGATCATGAGTTTCTTATTAAGATAATCATTGAATCTCTTCATATTGATGTTATTAAGTTGCATACATATCAGCTATTTATTATTATTGTAATTTTAACATTGCTCAGAGTCACTGTGACACTGCATTCATACTTGTACTTAAGAGTTCTCTCATATTATTGTTAGATATAATTATATTAATCATTAAATGTATAATATTGATAGAATTAGAAGAAGTGTAATTATATAAATCTCTTATATATCTGTAATATCAGAACTCTCAGATCTTTCACTGACATTCTCTTTATAAGATCTTACTCTCTTTGTAAGATCTTGTTATAAGATCAGAGTGACTGATAAGTAAGCTTCTATCTGAGAACTCAGTGTCTGCTTTAACTGTTTAACTATTTCTCTGTTTCTTACATGTTATTATATATTCAGATATCTCAGTGAGTAATTGTTTCTAATAAGAAGATAATGAACATTTTTCAAGTATAAGAGGCCTACACTGAATAGATCAGTATAATATTTATAGATCTTATATAACAAAGTGAAAAACATTAGAGAAGAAAAGAAAGAGAAAGTGTGAAAATTAATCATCAGAGTGAATATTTATACATGTATGTAATAGCATACACAGTGAAGCTTCAGAGTGGAAGAATTTATACATGTTCATGCGGCTGAGAATCAGCGATCAAGAATGGCTGAGAATCAGAGCATACGCATTTGAGAATAGCCGATCGGAGCATACGCGTTCGTGGCGGCCGAGGATCGGCGATCGAGAATGGAGCGGTAGGAATCTATGAAGTGTTGATCGGGCGCAGCCCGTCACAAGATATAAAAATTATACTCTGAAAGCAGCTTCACTCATCTGGCTTGACATTCTGTCAAGCTCTTTTTGTCAAGAAGTAATGCAGATTTACATGATCAGTAAGAACTTACACTGAGTACTTACTACTCTGAAGATAATGTCATCAGATCTTAAAGAATTCAACAATTACTAACATCTCTTAATTATGAGTATCATATCTTCTCTGTATAAGTGATAACTTCTTGAAGAAGAAGATCACTGATCTTCATTCATAGTATCTTATAGACTTTGTAAAAAAGTCTTCTCTTACAGACATTTCATTGTCTATATCTTTAAAAGTTATTATTCTCTGATTCTTTTAATGTTGAAAGATCTTCAGTGTTAACTGTGAAAAGATTTTATAGACTTCATTCTCAGATATATCAGTCTTACACTGACTGAGTAAGTCAGAGTTAAAGTAATTCAGTATTATAGTATCTATAAAAGCTTGTTTTAATTCTGTAAAAGCCTGTATAGTATCTTAAGTGAGAATAAATAATTCTGTTTTTCTGTCTTTTATACTTCTCTTTAACAGATCTGTAAGAAGAGCAGTAATTTATGAATATATATAAATGAATTATCTGTAGAAATTCATAAATTCTAGAAACATCTGCATCTTATAATATATCTGTGACACTGATCAGTTCTTAATAACAAAGACTCAGCTTCTGTTCATTGCCCCAGTGGCTGAATGATTAATGCGGCCACCTGGTAGCGCCTTGGCGTGGGAAACCAAGGCACGTGGGTTCGAAACCCGCAGGGGATACATTAAATCCGGAACTCAAGCACCTCAGGTTCCTAATAAATACAGAGGTGTACAAATCACTCCAATGAATCACTCTATGTTCCTGGGCTGGGAAGTTATTATCGCATGTATCTAATTGTCACTCCTTTGTATTTTCCTATGTTCTTGTTATCTTGGCGTGGTCTCAACACCTGTATTTCCTCCTGTATAACCAACACTTGACCTGTATTTAACATCACACAAGGACTCATCATAAGCTCCGCTTGCATATGAGTATAATGAAAGAATAATAATAATAATAATAAAGCTTCTGTTCATTGAAATGCTATTAATCTCAATAATATAATCTAAGAAATCAACCTTCTGCATGTAGAATGAGCATTTTTCAGTGTTTATATAGAGTTAATACTATCTCAAGTAACTTAACACTTCTTGAATATGAGTATTATATTCTTTCTCTGTTTTTGAGAAGATTAGAATATTATCTAAGTATACTATATAGAAGACATTAACAAGGTCTCACAGCATCTTATTTATATAGATTTGAAAGATGACTGAAGTATTATAAAAATTAAAAGATAAAACAAGATATTTAAAATTACTGTACTTAGTATAAAAAGCTGTTTTTTAAATGTTATCTTTATTAACTCTGATTCTATAATAGATATCTTATATATCAATTTTTAAAAACATCTTTGCTTTAGATAATCAATTGATTATCTTATTAATTAACAGTAATAAATAGTAATTCTTAATTATCATCTTATTAAGACCTCTGTAGTCTATGCATAGACATAGCCTATCATTCTTCTTAGATATAAAGAGTATAAGTATCTCTGCTGAATGTTTTAGTAAGTATATTCAGTTCTTTGATTATACTTTCTTAAGATATTTATACAGAATATTTAATTTCTTTACAGACAAGTTATAAAGAGATCTATACAGTACTGTTACATCATCTTCAAGACAGATCTTATATTATATCTTGATATCAGAAAACTTCACTATCTCTCTTTTTAAAAAGATATTCTTATAATCTGTAAAGAGATGTTATATATATTTATCTTTAATAACAGATACTGCTACTAATCTTGCAGTAAGAGTAATAATTTCTTCATCTATTTTCAAGTCTCAGTCATCTGTTATACAGTATATTAACTTTATCTTTTTCTCAAGATTCTTCTGATAAAACTCTTCAGATTTCTCTATCACTATCTCTTTATTAGTAAGACAGTATTATTATATCTAAGTAACTTAGTTAATAAGAGAATTATTTTCTCTCAATTATAGAAGATTTAGAATGATATTCTTATCTATAATGTTAATAATATGAAGAAGCAGACTGCTTTTCTTAAAGATTTCTTCTGAGTCTATAGTCACACACTTCACTTAAATTATATTAAAATAGTGATACTTTATTTTATTAATAAATTTCATATAATCTGACAGATCTATCTTCTTTCAACTCTTCATCAAAGAAAAGAAATAGAATATAAAGTTAGTATTTATCTCAGAGTTAAATAGATATCTCACTGATATCTTCTTATTCAGAGTATGCATTATAATTATAACATGAACTCAGAGATATAAAAATTATTAATTCTTTATTTCTTTCTCTTTTTTATCTTCTATGAATACATTTATCAGAAGAGAAGTTAACTTTGAGAAAATATCTTATCAGTTTCTTTTCTTCTTCAGCTTTTTATAATCACTAGTATAGTAATTATCAGCTCTGCAGTTAAAACAGAGATCTTTATTAAATCTTTTTTAATATTTCTTTACAGTGAGTGAAGAATCAGAATACTTGAAATTCTTCTTTACTTTCTTCACACTGAAGCTGTCACAGTGCTGTTTAAATTTCATTATTAATTATTTAGAAGAGATCTTGTTAATCTTTTTCTCAGAGTATTAATTATTCAAATAGATTTAGAAAGCTAAGTTAACAAGCTCAGTGTAATTAATTAATAAACTCTGATATTATAATATTATTATTTACATTTTATAAGTTAACTTTATAAGATAAAGCTGTATTTTTAATTGATTCAAATCATCAGTTAATTTCTCTTAATATTCTTCAAATCTTGTATTGAAATCAGAAGAATTCTCATTATTTTATTAATATAATAAGTTAAACTGCTATGCTGCTGTAAAGCTATGATTACAGTAATCTTCAATCTAGTTCAGTAGAAAGTCTTTGAATTCTTCTCAAGTTATGATAGTATTGATACATTCAAGCTCTCTTTTCTTAGTAGCTTAAGTAGTTACAGAGATACCTTCAAGAAAATTAATAATATATATTACTTATATCTCATGAGTATTTAACTAGCTCAGATTAAGGTGGAATTTTCATTTAAGAGTATAGATAAAGCTATAAAATTCAGATAATAAATTTCTCTTATAACTCAGAGAATCTCTGATCTTAATCTGTCTATCTTTATAATAGATATAGATGTGTAGAGACTGCAGCAGTGATAGAGCAGTTAAAGAGCTTATATCAAAGTATGCAGCAGATTCAGAAATCTTGAATTTCTGCTAAGATAGAGATATACACACTCTAGAGAATAATGTGAGATGTTTCTCAGAGAGTGAGATTAAGTCAGTCTCAGTATAGATGTATAAGATTATATCAGTCTGTTAAAGCTTGACTGATTCAAACTTATAATCAGATTAAGTAATTTAAATTGTAATATAATAAAGCTGAAATAATGACTGATCAGCAGTATCATGTAGAAGTAGTTATTTAAGAAGTTATATAAGTGAACTTAACTCTCTTACTTAAATAGTGAGCTCATGAGCTACAGAGTTATTACAAGAATATCACAGATATAGTACTTAGTATACTAGAAAGATTGTATAAGAAACACAGTAACTTTTATATATATTTCAGTAGAAGAAAAATGAATCACTGACTTCTTTAATAAAAAGCCAGCTTCTAGCTATTCTATATAGATAATGAGTGAATACTCTTCTCTCATTTCATAAGTAAGAATAGCTGAAGTGATATCTCAGCAGCATCTTACTACTATAAAAGAGTAATCTGCTGATCTTATATAGAAGTGAGATTCTCATATTTATTAATTAAATCTTTCTATAATATATCTGAATAATATTATAGAGTGATTGAAAACCAGTTTGAATAATCTGCAGAATGAATTGAATCATTTGCAGAGAAGTGATGAGCCGTGTGAAACCGCAACACAGTCTTGAAACGGCTGAGAATGTGACATATGAATAAACAATTATTTTATCACAAATATTTAAAATGAATGTAATAATCAGTATTCACAACTGAGCTTTAGATAGTTATATTATACACAGTCTTTATACAATAAATCATTCTAGAGATTGAGAAGAAGAGTGAAAGTATATACACTGAGAAATATAATTTATCAAGTCTATACAATATTTTCTTGAAATGAGGAGAGCCGATAATGAAAGCAGAGACAGCAGAAGCAGAGAGAGTAGAAGTAGTGAGAGCAGAGATAGCAGAAGTGAGAGAATCAGACACAGAGACAGGTGTAGAAGATTGAGAAGAAGTAGCAGAGAAAGAAACAGAGAAGACAGAGAGAGATATGAAAGACTCAATCACATATAATACAGATAATTTCTTCATTATTATATCTCTCAAGTTCTTAATTAATAATTTAATATTAAGGTCATAATCATCAGCAGATATGAATCTGTCAATATATAAAGATTCTATATAAATAAAAACAAACATATCAGCATCTGTGTTCATATAAAATCATGCTAGAAAATATAATCAGAAGCCTGCTGAGAAGAAAAACAGTTAAGAGTATATAAGAAGATAAAGAGAGTGTGTTATTTATGATAACATGTTCTGATAATTGTTAGAAGAAAACAAGTTCTGATTATATTTCACAATACATTATACTTACTGCTAATAAACTGCTCAGTATAAGCACTATAAAGACACTTATTATGAAAATGAGAGGTCATTATCAGAAATATGTATGATGTAATAGATGAGTAGATGAAAGATGTTGAATAGAAGAAGAGATAGAAATTTTGAATGAAATGATAATATTCAATAATAATAATGATGAAGAAGATAATTGAAGAATGAAAAAAGTGAGTGAATAAGTAATATAATATAGTGAAAGTTTCTTTGTAAGAGTGTATACAGAATACTAGCTAAATCAGAGATAGATTATACTATTATAAATACTAGTGACACATCAATCTGCATGAAGCTAGAGTATATATTATGATTATATAAGTGTGACTGAATCTGATGAGAGAGAATGTAATTCAGAAGAATATATAATTATCAGATAATAATACAGCTGCTTCTGAACATACTTACAAATGTAAAGAGGCTCTAGCGGCCACTAATTAATTTAGATAATATATATAAGAAGCCAGTATACACCTGTAATCGTACACTGACTTAAGTAATCTTTGAATCACATATCAATCTATTCAGTATAGGTCTCTTATACTTGAAAAACATTTATTATCTTCTTAATAAAAATGATTATCTCATTCATTATCTTCTTATTAGAAATGATTACTTATCAAGATATCTAAACATGTAATAATGCATAAGAAATAGAGAAATAAATAAATAGTTAAGTGAATATTAAGTTCTCAGATAGAAGCTTGCTTATCAGTTACTCTGACCCTGTAATAAGATCTTATAAAGAGAATAAGATCTTATAAAGAGAATGTCAGTGAAAGATCTGAGAGTTCTGATACAGATGTATAAGATATTTATATAATTACACACATCTGACAAATGATACAGCTATGTCTACTGATAATATAAGAGAACTCTTGAATATAAGAATAGATACAGTATTACAGTGACTTTAAGCAATATTAAAATTACAACAGCAATAGATAGCTGATATGCATATAACTTAATAATATTAATATAAAGAGATTCAATAATTATCTCAATAAGAAATCTCTGTACAGATAATTTCAACACTGACAGAATTGAATATAAATATAATGTAAATACTGAAGAAATACTTAAATACTTTTATATATTTTAACACTTCTGATCTCACTCTCTACTTATTATAAAGGTTGAAAATGCTTACAAAACTAAGCATAGATAGAGATGTCATCAGTTCACTAATTAATTAAGATTGATATATCAATGAATAATTAAAGAATTATATGAAACTGAAGTTTTATTTATAAATAAAAGCATGTAAATCAGTGTTGTAAATGCCTGATAATATTATTAAACATCTTGATATTCTGTTTCAAGACACTGTTATGTAATAGAAAGTATTAAATTAATTACAAAGTATCTGACAGAGAAACACTTCTCTTATAACATTTATTCCTGACTTTAATACTAAGATTCTAGAAGCAGGTGATCAATCTTGAGAAGAGTAAATGAAAATTAGTATACTTAAGAAGATATTAACTTTTAAACTTCTATAAACTCTTATAAGTATAAATGAAGACCTGACTTATAAAGACTTCTGCATACAACTCTGAACATTGAATGATCATCTTATCAAGCTTAAGAGTATACAGAATAGTGATAGAAGATATTACATCTCAGTCACTTTTACATCTGTGCTGAAGAATAATAATAATGATGCAGATGCTATGAACTGAATAGATTCAAATGTCTATGTATAAGCAAGAGTTTCTGTCATCTGAACAGACTTTCAAGTCTTTGAAATTATCTCTGAAGAAGTTGCTGACTGATATTAACAAGAGATATGCATTAATTGTAACTAATTAGAATATATCACTTTCAACTACTAATCAGTCTACATGCTTTCTTACTTAAGAGAAAGATCAGTGTCTTCTCACTCAAAGAATGAATCAGTATCTGTTCATGCTAATCACATTGCACTGAAGAAAGATTTGAAAGATAACTATAACAATGCTCTGATAAAACAGGGAAAAGATTAGCTTCTATTCAAATTTATAAACAGAAGCTTGAAGAGGTTGAATAACAATGATTTGAAGAGAAAATAGTAATGAACATGATTCTTGTATCTACTATAATCAATAACATGTATAATATAAAAGCCATGATAGATAGCAGTCTATATCATTATATAATAATTAAATCTTCAGTTATAAAATGTTACAATCTTCAGTGTATTCTCTTATTAAAACTCTGACTTCTCACAGAATTTAATGACTTAAAAGACATTTGTATTCATTACATGATGAAGTTGATCATAGATGTGAGAGAATATCAACATGAAGATGTCTATATATATGAAGTTGATAATCTTGATTACAATCTTATATTAGAACTTGTCTGACTATCTGAACAAGATATCTTATTAAATGCTTGAAACAGAAGCTTAATATTCTCTAACAATGATAGAATTCATGAAGATAATATTCACAAGACTATGAACCTTACACAGATCTCTGTCAATGCTTATGAAATACTCTGAAAAAGAAGTCATCATTAAAACTGCTGATAAAGTCACTGATAACAGAATTATATATTAATCTATTTCATCAGTCTGATTAATATTAAGAAAGCTCTAGAGAAGTTATTTTATATTACAATGACAGATTCTTATACAAAACTCTCTCAACAATATTATGAATATCAAAGGTCAACCGCTCCACCACGAACTCGCTCGATTTTTCGAATAAGAACCCGCCGATAGATTCATTGAAAAGCCCTCGATCATACAAGCATTTTGACCCCATCGCTGAATGCATACCCCGTGTGGTGGTGGAGTTATCTAGCCAAACATGAACCAGACATTGTTCAAAACTCCTGTGTGGAATTATCCCTCATTCTCCTCTATCACATCACAACCCTAGGCCAAATTGCCATAAAAATTGTAGGGTGAAGAGACCTAGTCATATGCATCAATCTTCTCAATTTTGAAAGATCTCTGTTCTGTAATTGTGAAGATATCTGAGAAGTGATCTCTGTGAAAACTCTATTCATCTTTGATGTTTTAAAACATCAATGCCAAGTCTCACTCTTATACCGCCCTTCTCAATCTGGCTCATCTCTGGCAGAAAAATACAAAAAGATATCTCAGTAATAATATCAAGCACATAATCAAGAGACACTTCTGAAGTGCAATTTCTGTGAATACTCTGTCTGTCTTCAGTGTATCTAGATATCAACATCAAGTTTCACTCTCATACTGTCTCTCTTATCTGGCTAATTCTGCGTTAATAATACAAAAAGATACCTCAGTAACAGTATTTAATACATAATCAGTGAACAATAAGTCAACAGAACAAGTCAACAGTATGTTAATAACTATAAATTCAGTATACTTCAAGATCTGACTGAGTCTTTGATTTCTGTATAGTGAGATATATTAAATCTAGTTTTAATATCTCAATATTCAATAGATTCTGTAAGAGATTGAGAACAGCAATACTAGATTTCTATTAAATTCAAGAATTAATTCTATATTAATATAATTATTGACAAAGTCTTCTATTTTGAGATATAAATAACCAGTTTCTCTACATCTCACTGACAATATTTATATTATTTTATAGAAACAGACTTATATTCTCTATAATATCAAGACTCTGAAGAGAGAAAGTCTTAATAGAGAGTATATAGTAGTCTATATCTTAGCAGTTTCTATCTTATTCTTCTGCAGCAGTTAATACAAAAAAAAGATCTTAGAAATAGTTTTTTACTTCTCTTGAAAAAGTAAGATGTTTTTCTCTGAATTTTATACAATATTCTTACAAAGAATTAAAAACAGAGTTATTTTCTATCATAATTTTATATTCTTTTAAGTAAGAATTACTTTTTCAGTGACTGAAGAGCTTTCATTAATACTTAATTCTTTTTTATACTCTTTATTAACTGATTTGAGTTGCATACTTATTGTGTGAGAAGAATTAAATAATTTAGAATAAAATTGAATAGTTTTAATCAATTTCTCTGCAAAAAATTGATTTATTTTTTATCAGTTTTTCTCTTAAAAGCTGTCATATTATCTGATTTATTATTAATTGATATCATACTTTTTCTTACTATATTTCAAGAAAGAGATTGTAAAGATTTTATTAATTTATCTTAAAAATCAATTTTAGTTTATTAGATTCTCTTCAAAAATCTAATCTAGTTACTGAACTAGTGTGAAAAAAATCAGATGTTTTATATATAAAAGTCTTTTATTCTTCTTTTGAAACAGTCTGATCAACTTTTCAATTGAAAATAGACTTAGAAATCTCTTAATTGAAACAGTCTGATCAACTTTTCAAAAGAGTTTAATAAATATCTCAATTGAACCAGTCTGATCAACTTTTCAGTGAGTGAGAATAATGAGTTCAAAAATACACTCAGTTGATATGGAAAAAGATGCTTTCTCAAATACTATTTCTAACATTGAAATTCTGAAGAGAAGAAAGAAAGAAGAAATAGATAAATAACAAGTTCTTGAAATACAGAAACTTAAGAAAGTAAGTAAGATTCTTGAAAAGCAGTGTCTGAGTAAGATGAAGGAAGAAGTTCTGTTAATTCTTCATACTCAGACTAGACAACTACAGAAGATGATTAAGTTCAAACTTGAAATTTCAAACACAGTTTAAAAAATATTGAAAATTTCTAGTATAATCACTGACTCTTTATTTTACTCTTCTTCTTTTTCTACTTCTTCTTCTTCTTTAAATCAGAAGAAAATATATGCTTAAGCAGCTGAATCTGCTATCTCTAAATCTGCTATCTCAAAACCTGCTCAAAATGCTGAGAAAAC